CTTGTAACGACATTTCAAAATGCGCCGAGCAATTAAAAAGCCAATTAAAACCACAAAGACTGATGCTACACCTATTATTGAGACGAAGTAAGTAATACGAATCAAATCTTATTGTTATTAAACACAGAACATTGTGAAAGAAGAAATTTTATTGTGTATTATCTTTATTATGAACAATAAAAAAAAGATTTGAAAAACTTATATACCAAAAAAAAAACACGAAATTATTTGGATAAATAATTTGTTTAAATACCTTTAAACTTTACACAATTATTGTGTTTTACTACAAATAAGATATTAAAATTTTGAAATAAGCTTCTTTTCTTCCTCTCTCCACTCATCCTGCAACGATTCCACTTGATTATTTAAAGATCTCATGATTCATACTTATTATTTTCTTGCCTTTCCTTCATTATTTTACTGTCTTTCACCATACAGTGTTGAACTACAACAAAATCAGCAAAATGATTGGTTTTCTAAGAGTATGGCTCGCAAACATCTCAAATATTGTACTGCTGCTCTCAAGGAACTGAAAAAGCATCCTTCAGCTGGACTTTTCCTTGAACCTGTTGACGCAATCAAATATGGCATACCTGATTATTTCGACATTATTAAACAACCAATGGACCTTGGAACTGTAGAAGCCAAACTTAATGCGCTTCAATATACTACCGTAACAGATTTTGAGTCAGATGTACGACTCATATTTTCAAACTGTATTCTCTATAATGGTGTAGATCATCCCGTCTCTCAACAAGCTAAAGAATTAGAAAGTTTATTCAACGTACAACTTAGTAGCTTTCCTGGAGGTAAAAAGGAGGTAAATATCTTTTTGCTTTATCGTGTCCTTTACAGTAAAATAAATAAATATTTATGTTTATTCGATTCTACTTTTAGGTCAAACCTCCTGTGACAGAACCTTCTACTAAAGCGGCAAAGTCTGTAAAATCTACTGCAACTGCTGCGGCTGCGGCGGCGACAGTATCATCATCGCCATCATCGACTGTAAACCTGACTATCGATGAATCTCGTCCGAAAAGAATAATAAAAGCTCCTGCAAAAGATCTTCCCGAAGCACCACAATCTGGTCGTCGCAAGAAGACCAAAAAGAACGCTGAACTTAATTTCTGTCGTAGCGTTCTTCGTGAACTTAAGAAAAAAACACATTGGCCTTACGCTTATCCATTTTACGAACCTGTTGATGCCGAAAAGTTGGGAGTTCCAGATTATTATAAGGTCATAAAACAACCTATGGATCTAACTACCATCAATTCAAAGCTAGAAAACGATCAATACGCCAGCGCAGATGAGTTTGAAGAAGATATCCGTCTGATGTTCCGCAATTGCTATACATATAATGGGGTCGGAAGCGAGGTTTATAACATGGGTAAAACATTGGAAAACGTTTTCAATAAAAAATGGGCCGAAAAGCCTGTTCCTCAAAGTAAACAAAAAGGTAAAACAAAAACATCACGGGATGATGATTCCGATACAGATAGTTCTTCTGAAGAAGAATATGATGATGATGAGGTTCCGAGTAAGTTAATTATATTCATATATTCCGTTCAAATTAATGTAAGTCAATACTTTAATCTTTATTCGCTTATTTATTTAGATCCAGGACTCAAAAAAATTCAAAAGCAGTTAAGCACATTAACAAGCCAACTCAGACAAATAAGCAATCCTAAAAAGAGTAAATCCAAAAAATCTAGGAGTGGCAAGGCATCGACTAGCAAGAGTGGTAGTTTTAACGATCCTATGGACGTTGATGTTGAAAAAAAATCTCTAAAGCGTCCTCGTGGCGGGAAACGTAGTGAAGATGAAGGTCTCTCAAATGATCAAAAAGCTTTTCTTAGCAGTAGCATCGAGCTACTTGCTGATACCGACATGAATCAGCTCATTGATCTGTTATATGAAAGCGGAGCACCTTTACAGGTAAAATTATCACTCGTTTTATAAAACGTTAGTAATAAATCTGTATGATTTTAATAACAATCCACGTGATTTTACACGTGAACTTGTGTACCACCACCAATAATTTTAGAGAGATGGTGGTAATTATGAAATAGAAATTGAAACACTTGATGTAAAGACAGCCAAGAAAGTATTCGATTTCGTGTCGAAACGAATCAATAAGCAAAAAAGACGTCCACCACCAGCAAAAAAAGCACGCAAACATTCCAATGAAGAGGAACAAAATCAAAAGATCCTCGCTTTGGAAAGGACATTAGCTAAATTTAATGGCTCTCCTTCTCATGATGGTATATATTACTTTTTTTTCCCCAGCATATAACCTCTATTCTAAAATTCTTAAATTAAAAATTATCTATTTTTAAATAGCTTTTATTGAAAACCACTATACTTCTGAAGAAGACTCGTCTGATAGTCAGAGTTCAGACTCATCTGGCTCAGAATCGGAAGATTCAGGTAGTGACGACACTGTTTAGAATCAAATTACCCTTACAATTCCTCTCCTTTTCTTCAATATCTTACTTTTGTAACGTTATTGGAGCTATTTTTGCTTTCGATGGGAATGATATAGGGTTTTTTCACTTCTCAATCTCCTTGATATGAATTTTTATAGTTCATTCTTTATTATACTACTTTATTATCTTTTGTGCATTTGATATGTTCATTATTGAAGGAAAAGGAGAAGGACTTTCGATTCTACGTTACGAATTTCATGCTATTTTGTTCCTCCTTTGTATTCAAAGTTGATATTTGAGTCCTACTCTTATCAACATTGCTTACATAATAAAATATTTCGTTCGTTTGGTTGCTTTTTCCAAAAACTCTTTTTTACAATGATGTATATCTGATTTCTTCTTTCTCTTTTTTTTTCTTTATAATTTATGTTGCTTTTGTATACGTTTCCATGTCGCAAATAATCTTAACGTTACGACACGTACTTTTCTCGCTTTCTTTAACGAAAATTAAAGGAGCCAAGGTAAAATTAAAGAATTATATATATATATATATAATATTATAATCTATTTATATAGTTATGACGTAACTTTAACTAATCTATCAATTTAAAATTTATTTGTTTCTGAAATTATAGAGAAAAAGAAAGATTCGTATAGAAAATTTGCCACAAACCACATCAATAGCATTTAAATCTCGAGAAACTGGGTCATTTAAGGTTCCCAAACCAGTTCAACCTAAAGAGTCACAAACCCGATCAAATAAAGTAATTAAGAGAGATTCCTCTCAAGATGTCTCGGAATATTTCAACGAACGATCAAAAGAGCAGACAAAAAATATAAGAATAAATACAAATAATTCAATCCCTAATCGACCAATTGCTAGATTAAAAATAATTGAAGGTGAAGACCCTTCCATTGAAGAACGAGAGTTATTGAGAAAACAGATTTTGCGAATACCAGATGATGTTAGCAAGCAATCGGAACAGACAAAAAGTATTGGGGCGGGTATTATGAACAGTTCAAATATTAATAATAAACTTACTACTAGATCAAGGAACAGTGATATCAAATCATACAATGAAAATCTGAGTCTCGAAGTTAAAGGTGACGATCTTGCGAGAATAATGGCCGCAGAGTTAGATAAAATGCCAAGTAGATCTCCGTCTCCTGCTCGAAATCAAGAAAGTCGTATCCATTTAAATTACAGTGGGTCATCTAATAAAACTACTAGAGTCAACGTATCACGTACAGCAAGACCGACTGAAAGTATCGGAGCATATACTAGGAATCGTCCAGCTGTAAGACATAATACGAGTGATAGTACAACTTCTGGTAACGCAAAATCGAATGCAAAATTGATACAAAATACACGCTATCGCTCTATGACGAAATATGGTGCTTATAAACGGAAAGAACCACACATACCACCAATTCCTCCGCTTGAAGAATTAAAACCTAAGAAATTAATAGAGGTTGCGACCAATAAAGCCAAACCGAAATTTTATGATGGAGGATTCGAAACCGGTCCGATTGAGATAAAACCATTACCGTCATGGTGTGATGCTAAACCAAAACAGCCGAAGCCAGAACACCAAGAACAACCAAAGCCAGAAGAAAAAGATCAAGATGTCCCCCAATTCAACGACGAAGAAGAACAAACAGATCAGCCGAGAGAAGAAGAAAATAAAGAGGTTATTCAACATCTTGAAAATGAGATAATGAAGTTCATGGTAGAAAAGGCTGCAAAGGAGGAAGCACAGAGGTTGGCCGCCAAAAAAAGGCAAGAAGAGCTACAGCTTAAGGCTGAAGAAGAACGGCGAAAGAAAGAAGAAGAAGAAAAGCGCCGTGAATTCCTTAACAATTGCCGGGTTGAGACACGGGAACGTAGAGCAAAGGAAGTAAGTAAACTTTATTTTCCCCCTTTCTTTCTATTTATTAATGTTGTGCAATTAATAATAATATTACTTTTTTCCTTTAATCTCTAGCTCACATCCTGTATCGGCTGGGGTGAAGAGGCTCTGTTAATGGCCGAGATGGAAGCCGAACCTTTTCATTTGGATCGGCTTGCGGGTTCTATTTGGCGGCGATTTAGAGAACCTTTCGAAGACGAACCACTCCAAGGGAGCGTTCAAAAGATGATTATTTGGCCAACCGTAACTCCATTCGGAGCAATCCGAACTCCTCTTCCCAGCTTTCCCGGACTTATTGTTTGAGTTAAAGAAGTTTTGTCCTGGAAATGTTTAGTTTTTTTCCCTCTAAAGAGAACATAAAAGTATAAAAATGAGATACCGCGTAGACTAGATCTTTAATTTAAAGGGTTAGCACGTTGTCAGATCGTTATAATTCCCCGCAATTTATAATGCTTTGTAAATATAATAATGGTGGTGGTAGTAATAGTAATAATAATAAAGGAAGAAACTTTTTTTATCTATCTTTTTCCTTTAATTAATTGTATATAGCGAGTAACGTAAAAAAAAAAAAGAGATTAGAATAGATAAATATAAATTTAGATAATTATTAATATGTAAATAATGAAATCGAAAGAAAAGATTTTTCTGTACAAAGTAAAAATAATTAAATCTCATTTATTTTTTATTATTATTATTTTTTTTTTAATATTTATGATAAGTCAGTTATAAAGCAATTCGTTACATGGATAAAAGAATTTATTGGTAATGCTAATTTCCAATCAATATGCCCAGCACCAAGATAAAAGACGGGTGGTTGTAATTCTGTTATAGCGTTTGTTAATATCATCGGAATTTGAAAAGTCATTCCAATAGGCGAAACACCATTGCTTTCAAATCCTGTTAATCGTACAGATTTCTCTTCATCAGCAACACGAAAATTATAATATTTTTTACTTAATTGTTTATGTTTCAAAGTTCTTACAAAATTCATGAGTTTTTGTGTATTGATAGATCCAACATACTAAAATAATAAATCGAGGACACCATTAAAAAGATTATATAAGTAAATTATTAAATTAAATAGATATATTTTTACCTGAGTTATAACACAATAATACTTTGAATTTAATGGATCATCAATAGAATCATGAGAACAACGAGTATTTTCAAAAATGACACTTTTACATAAATGATTTATTGAAGGGGCAATTAAACGAAACCTAATCTTTTTTTTAATAAGGTTAATTAATTTAACTTAAATAATGTCAATTAATCAAATGATCGATCGACTTTTAAGATGTGAATTAAACTTACGCTCTCCTTTGAAGTTCCCAATCATAATAATCCGATTCTACATGATAAAATCTAGATACATTACGAACTCCAAAGTCAATACACGCTTTTTCAACCTACAAGTTTCAAAAATGAAGAAATTTATGAAATCATAATAAGAGAAGAAGAAGTAGTATAATAATAATAAACTTAATCAATACTCTTTTTACTGATTCAGGAGCATTATCATCAAGTTTTGTAAGGGTTGCCTTTCTTTTAAAATGATCAAGATAATGTACAATAATATTTTTCGATGAATATAACATCGATACTTGATTTATCAGGTCGTTTAATCGTTCCTTGACATTTTCTTCATTATTAGAAGAGCAAAGATCTTTCATCATTCAAAAAAGATGAAAAAAAAATATATAAATATATATACACAGTATATTTTTCATTTTTTGATCCTTGATTTATTGATATTTATAATTAGATAAACCAGGTAATTGGTAATTGTATTATGTGATATAAATGTGATTACTCTATTTCCCAAAGATCGATCCAGGTTTAATAAATATAATTAATATGTATATAGAATATATATGGTAAATGTAGATTAACTATGGAACAAAAACACGTGGTTCAAAAAAACTTTTTTGATCTAAAAATATACAAATTTTTTTTTTCCTTCTTTCTTTTATATAATCAACATCTTTCAAAAACGACAACAAAACAAATAAAAAAAATTACAACAGAAAGAAAAAAAAAGCCAACTTCATAATAAAGTTGATAATATATATAAATCGTAACACATTTCAAATAATGAGTAATAGGAAAAAAAAAAAATTTGAATAAATTTGAATGCATTGTTTGTATACACAATTGTTTTAAGTACTAATTTATAAGAAAATAAAATAAAAAAAAAGAGATAATAAAATAAAAAAAAACAAAGTTATATAATAAAATTTTCGTGAATTTTTTCGTGTTCGGAATTATAATAAAGAGAGTGAGAATGTGGGAGATTTCGTTACAGATTTTGTTAAACATTGACCAAAAATGTAAAATAAAATAAAAATATCTGACAACGAAAAAAGCGAAAGGAAGAAGACAAAATAAAATAAAATATTTTAATATAAAAGAAAGGATTTCATCTTTTTCTATAATTTATCTTTCACTTATATTCCCAACCAGAATATCCAAACAAAAAAACGTGTATATATTGTAATTCAAATAAATCCCCGGTGTATAAAAATTTTTCTACAATATTATGTCTACTGTAATAAAACAAGGAAAAAAAAAAACTTTTCTGATGGTTGGAACATTCTTGGGGATGATAATATAAAACTATAAAGTGTAAGTAATATATATATATATATAGAAACAAAAGTTATATATATGGCATGAAGCTACACAAAATGACCCATTAATAAAAAAAAAAATAATGAAAGACGTATCCGGATCTATAGCTTCTAACTACAAAGTAAAAAAATATAGATACAAAGAAATAATTTTTTTTTTTTTTTTTTTTTGCAAATTATTGCAAAAATTATGGAATGGATAATGAATAAATTCATTTGACATATTTTTTTTTCTTTTTTTTTTTAAAAAAAAAAAAAAAAAAAAAAAAAAAAAAAAGATAAAATATTACGCAGTCATTCCTTGATGTAATATAATGGTGACAGATATAAAGAAAAATATACAAATTTTAAGGCCGTAAAATTTAAAAAAATTGGAGATTCTTGACTTATTTCTTGGACTTATTTATCATAGGGTTAACAGCACACATCCAAATACGTGTTTTGTAAATTTTGAATAGGTCTCGGACCAATTCACGGAAATCAATACGACGTTCAGCAATAAAATAAAAAGTAAGTTTGCGTCGATCCCTGTTATATTAATATACATTTACGCAATTAGCATTATTTATATAAATAGATTTAAAGATAGCAAGCCCACTTACCACTGATATTCAGCATCAACAACCTCCATTGGTAATTTCTTTTGACGAACTTTTGTTTGACACACCAACATAGCTTTTGCTTCATCTTGACTCTTTGTTACTAACATTGTGACTTCTGCAGGTTGAGCTAACCGATAGATTCGTTTTGGGTGAATCTCTTTATTCATACGATGTCCATCATTCATAGCATCAGCTTGTTGTTGTTGTAACACCTGAACTTGATGGGGCATAATCGAATCGTTGGTGACTTTTCCCAGATCTTTGCCACGATCTGCCTCGACAATAACAAGGTCACCCTTTTTAACCATGACTCCACTATTTTCTGCTACATAAAATAAATCTGTGCGACCTGCTTTAAATTCAACAAGAAAGAGTGGTCCATGTGTTGGAACAGCGTGTAGCGGAAGACCCTTTCCAAGTTCATTCCATGCTCTGGCACGATGTTCGTCATTATCAAAATAGTCGTCAATGTCTTCCGGAATGCTTGCATACCCTGTATCATTGGTATATGATGCCTGTGGCACATTGGTTAAATGAAGAGATTCCAAAGCTTCAGATATATATCTCGTTGGCTGATTTGTTGAAAAAGAAATTGCTGGTCCCGCAACCGAATGACGTCTTTGTACAAGGTGTGCAAATGCTGGATCGATCGCGGTTCTATTAAAAATTAATTACGTATTACACAAAATCTAATTTTAATTTATAACGAGAATCAAGATACGATAGAACTATCATTAATTTATATTTACCGGTGATTAAGCATTCGCAAATCTTGACTGTCATTAATATATTGATAGTCGTTCCCATATGAAGGAACTTGTGAAAGTGAAAATCGGCGTTGCCTCATTTTCTCCAGTCGCTCGCGATCGGATGGTAAACCCATTACTGCCAGGTACGAAGCTGGTGTAGGTTGCCTTGAGGCATTCAAACTATCCCACATACCATAATCAGAAGTACTTGGTACAGAACGTCTGTGATGAAGAATTGGACCATCACTTTGTGATCCTTGATTATTCCAAATTGACCCAGATTCTGAATACTGTTCAGAATCACGACGATAATCATTAATGTCATCTTGGGAAAGATCATGGTGACCTGATATAAATGCTGCAGCTGAAGACTTTGATCTTCCACGGAATTTCATATTGAACTGCGACATATCATCCGTTTCTTCTTCCATAACGGGAAGTGAATGTCGATATGCAAACCGTAAGCCACCTTCACTATCACGACGAGACGCAGAAGTTGGGGCATAACCAAAAAGATCAGTATCATGTTGCCCAACCGAAAAGGAAAGGCTTCTGTGCTGACGATACTGTGGATGAGGTGGAACGGGAACAGGTAATTTTCCAGAGATACCAGGAGGTGAGCTCATCTCTCGTTCATATGGTGAATTGTCATCGTTTTTTGAAACGGGAGGAGGAGTAGGAGATGCTCGAGGTATAGTTTTAGGTCCTGAACTAGGAACTTGTGGTTGATTCTTTTCGTTCCAAATAGATGTGGCACTACTCCATTGTAACCCTCCTAAAGCACCCCATTTACCGCCGTTCGCACTATTTCCTTCACCATTTCCATTTGGAATTTTAGGTGGTGGTGAATTAGAAGAAAGTAATCTGGAGGCGAGATCAGCTCCTCCATTTAAATGACGCTGTGATGTATTTGGAGTATTACTGGAAGCTCTGCGTAACTTTATGTCTTGATTGTCTTCAATATAACCCTGTATTTCATCTGGGCTAGGTGGAACAGACCGATTCAAATTTGTAGGCGGACTTCCAACAACTTTCCAATTATATGATACTGAATTAGCCGATGTAGTCGGGGAATTTGATGCCGGTGAAGGACTATTCTTGTCACTACCATTGGCATTAAATGATCTATTCGATGCTGATGCAGGACTAGCAGATCTACCAGCGGTTGACTTGGGCTAAAAACGAATTTCAAGGTGAAATAACAAAAAAAAAGAAAGAAAGAAAGAAAGAAAATACTATTATTAGATAGTTCTGACAATTAAGAGAGTATATTTTAAATCGATTGTCCAAAGAACAATTTAGTGGCTTCAATTGGTTTTATATTTAATCACTTCTCTCTTTTCCTATTGCTATTTAATAAATGTTGGTGTCGCACAATATTTGTGGCTTGATGAGAAAAAATGTCGAAAGTGGTAAACATTATAATATTTATTTTTACTTACAATCTTCCAAGCATTGGCGACAGGCTTTGTCTCTTGTTGCTAAAATTTGAATAAAGTTCACGGTTAAAAAAGGAATAAAACAAAAACAAGTCTTTTACGTAAGGAGAAAAAAAAATAAAAAAATATTTGTAGCTCGACGACAATATTTGTATTATCAGATAGATATACCATACCTCCATTATTTATATTTCAATCTGTTTTTTTCCCAAGGTGGAGTCGTTAAATAAGAACAAAGATTAAACAAAACGTTAGGTATAGAACTTGTCCAAAAAGCGATCATTAAATCATAAAACATACCGAACTGTAGGAAATTTACTCGTATCCTTACCTTTACAGAAACACTCTGATACTTACACAAATAAATATATCGTACAAGTTAAAAAAAAAAAATTTACAGAAAGGTCGTGCAAGAATCTGTACACACTAGACGTATAATATTATTATTCTAGGCAACCAAAAAAAATAAAATAAAAATAAAAATAAAAAAAAATAAAAATAAAGATGAAAACGAAAAAAAAAAAAAACAAGGGTAAAAAAAAATTTTTTTTTCTAAACTTTTTCTTATATGGACTTTGTGTGCGTGGTAGATAGATGTACAAAAAGGTCTATTTATCAGTCTAACGAGCAGGTTCTATTCTCTTTGGGCCACGAGAGCCTGAGGTCTTTTTGGGAAATATAAAATATGTGTTTCTACACTAGGGGTCCAGAAAAGGTATTTACAAAGGGGTGGTGAAAAAAAAAAGAGTTTCCGTAGAGTATTCGAGGAATGATTATAAGGGAAGGAACCGAAGGAAGGATTTAGGAGAAGAGAACAACCTGTAGCAATGTCGTAAACGGAAAAGCAATGATCAAACCCAAGAAGTTAAGATCGTTTTTGAAAGAAAAGAAGAATTGAGTGACTTATTTTGTGCAAGTCGCACGAAACGGCCAAAAGTCCAACTATTACTAAAGTTCTCCGCAGGAAAAATAATATAACCAATATATGAATCAAAAAGTTATAAAGCAGGGTGAAAACTAATTGGTAATAAGAAAGAGTGGGCATAGTGGAACATTACACTAATACAAACAAGGGATTTTCTCACATCGAAATTTACCTTCATTTCCACAAATTAAAAAGAATAAATAAATGCAAAAGATTCATCAGATATTACCCGTGATTGATAATATCTGATAAAGTGATGTAATGCGTAGCAATTGATCGCGGGGGGATGTGAAAAACTGGGCGGGGAGCCTGTTTTAAAGTAAAAGTT